AAAGGCCAATGGAGTAAGCATTCAGGATATGAGCCGAACCAAGTGCAAGGGAAAATTGAAGGAATGCAGCAGGATGAACAGTATAAATACTTAGGCTATCTACAAGCGCCGGGCACAGACCAGAAAGCTGCAAAAGAAAAGGCAATGGAGAACTATAGAACACGTTTGAGGGTAGTGCTGAAAACAAGTTTGTCAGCTCGTAATACAGCACATGCTGTCAGCACCTACGCTACTTCGGTCCTTACCTACACATTTGGCATACTGAACTGGACGGATACAGAACTCAACGCACTTAATGTAGAAACCAGAAAAGAATTCCGTAAACACCGGGGACACCACCATAATAATAATAATAATAATGATAATAATAATAATAATAATAATAATAATATTAATAATAATAATATTAATAATAATAATAAATAATAATAATAATAACAATAATAATAATAATAATAATAATAATAATAATAATAATAATAATAATAATAGTAAATGATAAATAATAATAATGCACATACATTCATAATCTCCAAAATGACCAATTAAATTTTAGTAGCTTCCCTGGTATAATTGAATTGTCATATACACGAAAACAAAGTTCTTGGAAAATGGGAAAATCAATATATTAGACTTTAAGCGCTAACGTGTAATAGTTTAAGTATGTTTCAAGGATTTTCCTCCAATATTAGATTTACAATAATAATAATATATATATATATATATATATAATAATATACAGGGTGTTCCATAATTATTGCGACAAAATGATAGGGGTTGTAGAGGGCATCAAAATGAACAATTTTTCCTTATAAGCCCCTGTTCGGAAACATGCCGTTTCGGCTGCAGCAAAAAAAAAGATCAGTTTCTTGAAACAGCTTACCTACAGTAATTGCTCAAAGTGTCCTCCACCTTGCTCAATACATACCTGTGCACGATTGTTCAATGATCGGCGAACTCTGTGGCATACCCCCGGTATGTCCTGAACATGTGCGGACGCGGCCATCACTCTTCCCAGTAGCTCTTGTTGGTTGGGAACAGGAGTTTCGTACACTAAAGCTTTCAGATAGCTCCAGATAAAATAATCCAGTGGAGTCAGGTCAAGTGACCGCGCAGGCCAAGGCACAGGGCCACCTCGGCCTATCCACCTATTTGGAAATTTGTCGTCCAAATACTGCCGCACTTGTAAAGAAAAGTGGGCTGGACCGCCATGGTGTTGAAACCACATGTTGGCTCTTATATTCAGTGGCACATTTTCTAATAGTTCCGGTAGCACATGCTGTAAGGATCGACCATAAGCATGCCCATCCAAACGTGGTGGAAGCAGATATGGCCCGATGATATGCTCGTCCACAATGCCGCACCAGATGTTAATTGAAAACTGATGTTGGTCTCTATGGATGGCTATGGCATGAGGGTTTTCTTCATCCCAAATGTGACTGTTACGGCTATTAAAATAACCGTCCTTTGTAAAACAGGACTCGTCAGTGAACAAAACGTAGCGACCAAAGTTTGGTTGCCTCAACTCCTGCTGCAGCCACCAACGACAAAAACGTCGACGCGGCAGATAGTCTGCTGGACCCATGGCTTCGACTTTTAAAAGGTGGTACGGGTGTACGATAACAAAAATGTAAACACAGCAGGCTTTTTCTACAAACCGGCGAGACCATGAAATGTGCTAGACGAACATTTTGCAGCTGGTGAATTTTTTGTTTCTCCTATGAGCTCTTAAGGTAAAATTAACTGTAGTGCTCAAACGGCATATTTACGAACAGGGGTTTATAAGGCAAAATTGCATATTTTTATGCCCTCTACAACCCCTATCATTTTGTCGCAATAATTATGGAACACCCTGTATATATATATATATATATACCTAGGGTCAATGGGTCTGTTTCCAGATTCCCATAAAAAGTGTCCTCAGCTACGATGATAATCCCAGACTCATGATCTAATAAATATATAATAAAAATGGTAGACTTATCTTCTGCTGAGTATCAGTATCGTGGCAAAATGTTAATTTGATATACGCATTTGGAATTTCCCAGAGAACTTCCAGATAGTATATAGATATTTTGTTGTCCATGTAAGGGTGTGTAAAGAAATAACCGCATCAACCTTTACAGGTTATTATCGGTGGGTGTGATTAAATCTTATGTAGAACATTAATTTCTCTTAAATACATAAGCATCACATCTGTCCCCTATAATGTCCACTAGAGTTCCGTCAATATTATGTTGTAGTCTTTCACTTTCCAGTAATGGGCGCTCTACGAAGATGTGTTTAACGGTGAGTGTTTCTTCACAAATGTCACAGGTCTTCGATTGTGGGTAATACAGCGGCATGGCCCCGTTTATAATTTGAGCTCTAAGAGCTTAGAATTCTTATTTCTCCATTCCCCATTCCATTCTTGATATATTTTATAAGTGAAGTGAACTTTTGATGTGGACGATTTTTGCTTTTTGGTCTGCCTCCTCGTTACCCCAACGTGCGATGGAGCCAAAGCGAAGATAACTTTTTTGCCTTCCCTATGTAATCGATGTAAAAGCTCCTTGACACTGATCACCAACGGGTTACTCATGTAAATTCGTCCAGTCATTGTGAGCGACATCAGTGAATTGGATAAATATTATCACCAGGTTTGTAGCTGCCTTCTCTGTGATATGTTGGAGGCCTTCCATTATAGCATGAAGTTTACCCGTGCAAATTGTAGCTTCATCTGTTATGACGGCTTTGACTGTTTTGTAGTCTACTCTAGCTGCATCTGTGTAAATTTTTTGGTGTTTCGGATATACCTGCATAAGGTGATTGAAGCGTTGTCTTATTAATTCGTGGGGTATTTCGTGCTTGTTAAGCTTTGTAATCCTGGCAATGATGTCAGTTAAGTAGATCAGCCAAGGTGGAACAGAGGATGCTGTAGTACGATAGGCGGAGGGGGAACGATATGCTCAGTGATTTCTCTCTCTGACTGTAAGAGCTCCTTCTTGTTATATTTATGCTGTTCTGTAACATAGTAGCTGTTAGGCGACTATGAATAGGAATGGTGGGTTAGAGTGAACTCTAGGTGTATATGAGAGACTTAAGATCTGTGACGTCTGAGGTATAGCGGTGCCTCACCAGCTTGATAATATAGGCTATCGCATGGTGTGGTCCTAAAAGCATCAAGTATAAGAACCAGGGCATTATTATGCAGGATATCTAGTTGTTTAAGTCACGAATTTATTGCCGATGCGTATATAAAAGTGTAGTTCCGTCAGCCCCTCATCGTTTTATAAGCATTTTAGTAAGTCGATTGCTTTTTGGCAGGATTCAATGAGTTCTCGGATGTGTGATTTCCAGTTCAAGTGTTGATTGTACTTTAGATTTGATTTGCATCTTACTGGTTTCTTCGAAAAAATTATACAGCTAGTCTTTTCTGGTGAAAAAGTAAATTCTGATTGCTTGAGCCATTCCGCTAGTTTATCCAGTTGTGTCTGTAGTAAATTCTTAACTGTATCCAAATGTCTTTCTTTTAGAAACTAAATGTCATCGGCGTATAATCTCACTTGTATTGATTTATCAATTGCATCCAAAACGTCATTTATAGCGATAAGAAACAGCGTCGGACTGATGATTGAGCCTTGGGGTATTCCATTTTCTTGAATTCTTTGTGTAGACAAAACCCCATTGGCTTTTACTTTGGAAGACTTGTCACGTAAGAAGTTCAAAATTAATGCCAGTGCATGTCCGTTATATCCCCATTTTTTCAGCGTCGTTATGATTGTGTGCCTCCACGCAGTGTCAAAGGCGCGATTTATATCAAAATATATAGCAAGTGCAAATTGTCTATTGTCAAACGCTTCATGTATATGGTTTTGTGAGTCAACTTAATTGTCTAATGTGGATCTGTTGGCTCTAAATCCAGATTGTTCGCCAGCAAGTAACTGTTTTTGATCTAAGCTCCAAATGATCCTACGTTTTATAATTTTTTCTATGAGTTTGCACATTGTGCAAGTTAATGAAATGGGTCTGTATGATTGTGGGTCGAGTGATGATTGATGTATTAGGTTCCATTTTGGTACTTCTGTAGGAGTGTCAGTTATCTGCTTCGTATTCGTCACGATTACTGGATAATGATCGCTGCTGTAAAGGTCATCCGCTGTGTCCCACTCCAGCTGTGTAATAAGATTGGGCGTGCATAGGATTATGTCGATTGCGGATTGCTGATTTTGGCTTTTTCTTTGGACTTTGTCTGGGGGTAACAAATTCTGGCGTTAAGTTGGGATCGCTCGAGGGTGTTGATTCTGAAGTTCGGGTTGTTGTTTCGGAAATGCTTCTTTTGTTGTTTGCACTAGATGTATTTATCGAAATTTGGGAGGTTACTGTTGGCATCTGCCGCTGCCCTTTTGCATTTGAAGCAGCTTTTACTGTCAAGAGATAAGAATACTCGATACGTAAGGTCATCGTAACTGATTTCCAGTGAATCGGGAATTTCAATAGATTCTAACGTTTCAATATATATTTGTCTTCAGAAACTCAAGATGTGACTATATTCAGGAAGAGGTGCGCCGATCTTTAGGAACGAAAAAGGCGAAACTGTTTTGATGCCTATACGTTGTATGCTTTCTTTGATTTTTGCATGCGGTATTGTGGTGCAGACATTTGAGGTGACTAATCTATCTGCAGGTGCTACTAGTCGCCCTGCTTGTGCAACTTGCCGTTGCAATACGATTTTTCTAGGATTATTGAGAAATTTGTCGACTACTTGCTTATTGGAAAAATAAATACATATGCGGTCATTTGAAATCCTGGAGCAGAATATGTGTTTTGGATCTACTATGGGGCCCAGCTCCAAGAGGTAATCTTGTATCCTGGTATCATCGATGGAATTGTAAAGGATAGCTTGATCTTTAGTAAGATGCTTGTAACTGACTGGCTGATTCAATAAAGTAGAATAAGATGGAGCATTGGTGTTATTTCTTGATGTTGTAGGATTATTTTCTATAGACATCTTTCTTGGTTCAATTGCCTTCCTTCAGATATGCTGCAAGCATACCTGAGTACGGTTCTGTACTTTGCAACAAGGTGATGAAGGAGTCTTTACTGTGCGACGTGAGTTCCTCAAACTCAGAAGCAAATTTCAGCACTGCGGCTAGCACACACTGTTGTATTGCTTCTACAGCAAAAAATCGAAGAAAAATTCGATGGTTTCTTACTCACAGTAGGATGCTGACATCTATCTCAATGGTATAGATATGTCACTATGCACAAAATATGATATTTTACTGGTAGAAATTAAGCTTTTTCAAGAGCCAGTTATGTAGTCGGAACTTCAAACTTCGTTTTTAAAAAACCTTATTTGGTTTCCAACAATAGTTTACTGGACCGAACCGGAATTACAGTGTATGTGTGTTCGCTGTGACTGAGATTGAATGACTGCCTCATAATTAAGATACAATCGTTAATATAAACCAAAAGTGATGAGCTAGTAAAAAGGAATACAATGCAATTATTATATCAATTAATAAAGTGTTGAATGACAGCAACATAACTAGCCCGATTAAACTGCTGCCACTCGGTAAAGAGGCAGGGTCGGATCTAAGGAGGTATTCTGTAATCTCTTATGTGAGTTTTGGATACAAGTAAAAGCAGACGTTGGATGTCTTGTGCAAGCACAGGTTGTGTTGGTGAATATATGTAGTCCACGATAAACAAAGTGAAAAAATAGGGCAACGTCCATAGTACTTCATCAGAATTCGTAGGTATACAGGGTGGTCCAATTGAAAGGTTGCACCGATATTTGTGAATCTTCTGGTATATTTTGGAAAAAATGCCCAGGCAACTCATTTTTGATTTCTAGGGGGACGTCTTTTCATCTATAGTCGTACAATACACTGTGGTCTAGAAATAAGATATTGCGTTTCACTTTGGATTTTTAAATGAAAACCCCCATTTTTGTTTTAATTTTTAGATTCTGGTTGAAGTTTTTACTAACTTTTGTGTAACAAAGATTATATATATATATATATATACGGGTGGTTATCTGAAATTTTGTTAACTTCTGATGTAATTTTGAAAGTGGTGTTTTTAGTTAAAAATCAGAACAGCTTATATTCTATGCTGTAGGTATAACATCTACTTTGCTGCATCTAAAAGGGCCAGTCACTTTACTTGATATTTTTAGAGAAATTTATGATTTCTTAAAATCAGTGTTCAAGGGACTGACGACAAGTGATATGGACTGACACCAAACACGATTATTATGTCATATCACATTTTTATTGCAAAATAAACTGTAACAACAAATTATCCCTTAAGTTCACAAATTCAATGAACTATAATCACAGCACAGGATTTAATGATTTACGTGAAAATAATGTATCAATATTTCTTAACTATCAAATTGTACTGTGAGTTTAATACTTATAAACTAATAGTCTTTGAGTAATCAGCAATTATTTTAAGTAATCAGCTTTCTAAAGTTTTAAGTTACCAAATTATAATTTGAACACAATATTCAGACTTTCATTAATTATTATGAGATCACAAATATTTCAAACGTAAACTACTTAGTACCTCTTATTTATTTTTATCACTATTTGTTTTACTTCTCGTAAACATTAATGAGTTCTTTTAATTTGTAAAGTACTGTATTTCTCTTGACGATTAGATTAGGAACTGGCAGTTTTTCTATAACGTCTTCGTCAGGTACGTCGGCGATATCATTATCATTTATTTTGAATTATGTGCCATATTTATTGCAAACTTTAAGAAATGTAACTGTCAGTTCTCCATCTTCGTCATCATATTTTGAGCAAACTGCGGCGTATCGGTATTCTTTTCCCCTCATTACTAACTTAACTAGAACATAATCTCCACTGCCATAGCTCGTTTTTGACTTTTCTTTTGCAATGTTTCTCATACTTGCTAACGGCATATCATCTTTAGAATCCGTGAAAATATCTGAAACTTGAAGCCGCTGTGTATTGGTTTGGTACGTAATAGTCCCCAACCTTATCACAGAAGCAACTTAGTGACTTCAAGACAAGTTTTTTAGGGTTATAAATATAACCCGAGACTTGATGCACTAAGAGCATTCCTTTAAACAGTTTCTGCTTTTCCTCATGTCCCTTGAACATTTTGTTAACTTTTTCTATGTCGACATTTTCGATAACAGAGATCTATAATATATATATATAGGTGAAAAATTAAAGCTTCCGCCTTTTGTTGGGTACTTCGACAAAATTTAAGCAAAGAGGACTCTTTATACTTTTTTTAATTCTCTCTAGCTTTCAATGGACTTTGCCATCATCATCAGGAGCTGCAATTACAATGATAAATTGAATCAACTTACAGTAGTATGTGAGGATGTTGCTAATTGTTGTTTTCTTATAGGATGAGGGAAACGTCCAGTAACATGGTGAGAGCTGGATACATGGTACAATGGTTAAAATTATATAAAATATGACAAGACAAGTTAAAGACAGATTAAAAATTATTTAGAAAACATTAGAGCATTACGTCGTGAAGCCACTTGATGATTGCACAAAATGGTGGTCATGGAATAATGAGTGAGATGAACCTTTGGCAGAAGGCCGAAGGTTGTCAATGTCAGTGTTGAAAGATGGAACGAATTGTGGGCGTGTGCCAAAACGTTGCCAAATCACTTCAGATGATGTGATTTTCAGAATGTTATGTAAGAAACTGTTAAACTGACCAGAGGCAGTTGAATAAACTATATTTTAATTAATGGGAATTTTAAATTAATAATTATTAATAAATCCTGAGAAGAGAATTATTAGATTTTGAGTGGAATGAAATTTGTTGGTGGAATCGGCCAAAACACAGATTATATTTATGGTTGTGAAAAGTCGAAATTTGGGGAGATATGTAAGTTCTCCAATTTTTCGCAGTTTAGCAAATATGAGTAAATGACACTCAGTTGTTTAATATCTGTCTTTTTGTTGATACAGTTGTTATTCATGAAAATGTGGGACATTTCCAGGAATAAACGTTTGGAAAGGTGTTTTTCTTTATCAAGAACTTTGATACTTGTGTAATTCATAGAATGCCCTGTTGTGTTAACATGAGATGCTAGAGCGCATCTTTCAGGATGGAGCCTAGCATCACTTTTGTGTGATGTAATCCTTCCTTTAAGAGATCTGGAGGTCTGACCTATATATATTTGGTTGCAGTTGTTGCAATTGATGGAGTAGACTGTGTTAGTTAAGCCAAGCAGCGGGACTTTGTCTTTCATTTTTGAAAAAATGCAGTTTATAGTGAGGACGGATTTACAAGCAAATCGAAAGTTCAAACGACTGCACAATCTGATCAGCTTAGGGGTCAGTTCCTTGATATAGGGTAGGACAGAAAAACCAGGTCTGGAGTTTGGGTTGGTGCTTATACTGTTTGAATTGATGTTATTGTTGGGAATTCTATCAGTTCTGTTATTAGGGGTTGTGCGACTATTACTTGTATCATTAGAGTTTGGCGAAATATTGGGAGGTGAACTAAATAAGATCTTGTTAATCAGACACTTCGGATAACCATTATTGATGAACAGTTTTGATAGTATACGTAAATTTGAAGTGTGGAAAGTACTGTCTGAGATGCTGATTACCCTTGTTTTCATCTGTTTCACTAAGTTGATTTTAATCCATAGCTTATGGTATGACCTAAAATTGAGAAACCGGCCTGAGGCCATAGGTTTCTGGTACCAGTCTACCAATAAACTATTGTTGTTGGTGCGGATGAGTCTTGCGTCTAGAAAGGGGACAGACAGTTTCTCATTTTCTTTATCAATGGTAAATTGGATGTAGGGGTCATAGCTGTTGAATTCTCTGACAATACCATCCAGGCCTCTGGAAGGGAGTCATAAAATAATGTCATCTACGTATTTTTTTATGAAGAAGAGGTTATAGGGTAGTGTCGGAATAACAGTATCAAGCAGATCATCCATGACATATTCTGCCATAATTGGTGATAGAACAGATCCCATAGGACAACCATGTGTTTGAGAATATATCTTGTTGAACAAAAAAGAACTTTGACTAGTTATAACTCTGTCCCTCCCAAATTCTATGCACTTCCGAAAATTCACAAACCTGTACTCTCAGTAAGACCTATAGTTGCATCAATAGGTTCAGCCACCCAGGCTCTGTCTTCATTAATATCGGCAACACTAGAATCAGCACATGCAGATAATGATTACTACATCAAAGACTCATTTGAAGTGTCTCGTCAGTTCAACAGATTGCCAATACCAGCCGATCACATTATCGCCAGTCTTGATGTGGTGTCGCTATTCAGCAATATCTATCTGGATGCATGTACAAGAACTATAAATAAACACTGGAATGAGATAAGTCAACACTGCAAAATATCTCTAGAATCGTTCAGCAACATTATAACATTCCTCTTTCATAACAATTATTTCTTTTTCAACAACAAAATATATTCTCAAACATATGGATGTCCTATGGGATCTGTTCTATCACCAATTTTGGCAGAATATGTCATGGATGATCTGCTTGATACTGTTATTCCGACACTACCCTATAACCTCTTCTTCATAAAAAAATACGTAGATGACTTTATTTTAAGCCTCCCCTCCAGAGGTCTGGATGGTATTGTCAGAGAATTCAACAGCTATGACCCCTACATCCAATTTTACATTGAAAAAGAAAGTGAGAACCTGTCTCTCCCCTTTCTAGACACAAGACTCATCCGCACCAGCAACAATAGTTTATTGGTAGACTGGTACCAGAAACCTATGGCCTCAGGCCGGTTTCTCAATTTTAGGTCATACCATAAGCTAGGGATTAAAATCAACTTGGTGAAACAGATGAAAACAAGGGTAATCAGCATCTCAGACAATACTTTCCACACTTCAAATTTACGTAAACTATCAAAACTGCTCATCAATAATGGTTATCCGTCTGATTAACAAGATCTTATTTAGTTCACCTCCCAATATTTTGCCAAACTCTAATGATACAAGTCGCACAACCCCTAGTAACAGAACTGACAGGATTCCCAACAATAACATCAATTCAAACAGTACAAGCACCAACCCAAACTCCAGACCTGGTTTTGCTGTCCTACCCTATATCAAGGAACTGACCCCTGTAACGCTTCCTTTCCTCAAAAAGTCCAGAAAAGATGGAATGCAATGAAGATTCCAACTTTTTTGCACAATCACAGAAAGGGGGTTACCATTAGCTTCTGGTAGCTCAGTCGGTGGCATGAAGACATCTACAGGCGTGTAGCTGTGTGTCGATCATGGCATGGCTAGAGGATAAAAGAACAAACAGAATACAAAAATTTAACAGATTTTATTTAACAAAAAAAGCATTTTCATTACATTACAATTTTAATTTTTAAACAACAAAATAAGTTTTAAATCTTTGGCGCTGCTATAAAACTATACACTTATCTTTCGCTGGTCCATTTTTGACCGGACTGAAGCGAGGATGGCCAGGCGCTTGAAGTGGAGGTCCCAGTTATGAGGGGTGACCTCACATTTAGTGGCTTCAAAACCAGTTGTAGGTGAAGTTGAACTTAAAGGTAATAGCGCTGCCAAGGCACATGCATGGGTGAAGTGATAGGCCAAGCAATGCAAAGACAAAGGCAAAAGCAAAGTCAAAGACAAAGGCAAAAGTCAAAGACAGATGCAAAGGGAAAGGGAAAGAGAAAGGGAAAGAGAAAGGGAGTGGCCCCAATCTGAAAAAGAACCGTGTGCATTAGCAACGTGCCCTAATGGCCAAGGCATTTCCAATCTCAGTCTGCCTCAAAAGAGAACCAACGATTTTCTAGGTTAGAATTACATTACATAGTTTGATAAAATCAACCGAAAATTGGAAATGCCTTTGATAAAATAAAATCATGAAACAGCAAAAAAAAGCGTAAAACAAGATGGTGGTCATCAAAAATTTCTCCACATGTTTCTGATATAAAAACACAAATATCGAATATTCATAATCAACATACTCATAATTTCACTGAACTATGAATATATATACGCACACAGAGGTAAAATCGATGTGGATCGATTTCTACCTCGATTTGATTAAAGTTATGGCGAATGGTCGAAGTAGTCGAAAATGACGTTCGATGAATATTCTAAAATCGTACAAGAAATAAACCACTTAAATATCGATTATCTATAAACTACAGGCAGATCCAGCAATAAAACTGTATAGTATTATAAAACTCACCATTTTGTCCTATTCGGACACACATTCTACAAAATTCTAGCACATGGTGCTATATGACCTCATGCTACAGAGAACAAAATTGTTAGCTCTTGCTAGATTGGCGGCTCAAGTGAAAAGGAAACTCGAGGAAGATCGCAGATCAGGAACTCCGCATCAAGCGCTCCAAGCGGAAAATTTTCCAAGTAAAAAAGCTAGAGATGGGATTAATGATTTGCGATTCTGAAATGATAATCGAGAAGTGATTTAATAAATACAATCGGACGGTGAAACCGTTACACTCGCCCCTACTTAACCAGAAAAAAATTCGAAGAAGCATTCAAGAATTTTTTTTAATATGGAAATTGAAAGTTACCACGGAAGGACAAATGTTCAACCATTCGACCAGATAACAAGTAGCAAAAGTAAGGTAGAAACAAAAATGTTAGAAGAGAATTGGAAGAAAAAGAGATAGCCTCAAGTCTACCAAACAAGAGGGATGGTTATAGCACCAACTCGCTGAAAAGTACAGTGAAGTTGCACTAAAAAAAACTATCATCATATGATGAACAACCCAAAACATAAAACATCGTCATACCTAAGACGAGAAAAATAATAAACCAAAAGCTTCAGCAGTAGTCCAAGCATGAAGTGAGGAATCACAATGGCTTCCAAAATGCACGACTGACTACTAAAAACTTCAAAACTAAGTAAGTACCTAAACCATAAGAGGTACTAAAAATATAATAATAATCTTTCTCAAAACAATTGCCAGATTATCTCGCAATACTCCAAACCCAAAAAGAATATCATCTACAGTGATATTTTAAACCAATATCCAATATAAAAAACAGTGCATTACTATTTTCAAAATATGAAAATCAAAAGAAATTAACAAATTCCATTAGGAATTCATGTCATATAACAAAACAATTTACAAGTGCTAA